CCCAATTAAAAAGATTGTCTTTTATACATGATTGGGAATTATTGTTAAAAGAATGAACATTTTAAAATTCTAATTCACGAAATGAACAAAACAAAACACCCTACACATTAGGGTTCACACTGAAATTGTTGATTTGAGGTTGACTGTCTGTAGTAAATTTCCTAAAAATAAACACATTGCAAATGAAAAAGTTAATTATAATAATTTAAGATACAAATTTTACATTTACATATTTTATTGTTTCAGTGATAATTCATTTGATGCTGATGATGGTCACACGGTAGTTGCTACAGCACGTGGTGTCTTTGATTACAACGGTGGATGTCTATCGTCAGTCGAGTCGGGTGTTAGTATTATTATTCCAAAAGGTGCCATTCCAGAAAATATACAACAAGAAATTTATTTTAAAGTTTGCAAAGATAACAATATCCTGCCGCCACTAGACACAGATAAAGGTGAGACAGTGTGGAGCACGGATAACATATATGCATATGACACTGAAAACAATATAATCCATGCGTGAAACGCCTTTTGGATGTGTTCAAAAATGTTATGGACACATTTTAATGTCTTCCTTATTAAACAACAATGTAATGTACGCCTGGATAAAATCACAACACTGGCATTTCAGTCTGTTATATTTCACTAAATCATGCAGAAAAAGATGCAAATTAATAAGATTATCCCAAAAATACCATAAAGTATGCACTGAGGCAGGAGACAGGGCAGATTACTTGATTGACTAAATAAATATGTCATCTTACTGTTAACATGAATGGCAATGTACAAATAGCTAAACTTTGGGGCCCTGACTGCACCTCAAATTTGTATTTCATCAACTCTTTCAGTCGGTAAGTGAATCATCCTGGATGCCTGATTACAAGACTGTTTTAACAGAAATTAACTCTAATGTATCAAATTTATTGGTTACTGTGTGTGCAGTTTTAGGTCATGTTTTTCCAGACAAATTCGTTTGTTCAATTATATACATGATCACCTTTGCCTATTCCAGGTTAATAATTGTGATATTTCATCGATAAAATATTTAGATGTGAATTTCCAGAACCAGTCACACCCAAACAAACAAAATGTTTTCAAAAAAAATAACTTGGCAGACAGTAATCAAAGTTTGTTTTATAATACTGTGGATCAGATTTCTTTCACATTGTACATCTCAGGGTGCTGATCTATATTAATTTTAAATACTGTAAAATGCTTAATTTTAGTTGGAATTTCGCTAAAAAAACATTTTGGGTGTTTTGTATGGAATTTATTGATTTTTTGACAAGTTAAAGGAAAAATATGGGGAAAGGTTTATTCTCTGAATTTTATTTTCACTGAATTTTAAAGTACTACTTCTACTTCATACGCCTCCAATATCTTCAGTTCTTTCTAAGCTTTCTTTGACTTCAAGTTCACTTTATGTGTTTTAACTTCAAGTTCACTTTATAAGAATAAAATTGTAAATTTCATATTTTAGGTGAAACTTTATTGAGTCCTCTGGTGATGTGTGGACCACATGGTTTAAAGTTCTTACATCCGGTAGAATTGCGGTTACCACATTGCGCTTCAATGACGCCTGATGGCTGGTCATTTGCTCTGAAATCAAGCGACACACCTGCAGGCAAGTACCACAAATATAGTTACCTATTATTAACTTTTCTGTATAGGCAGTGTGTGGTCAGCAACTACATACCCACTGACGGGGATTGTATACCCACTGACAGGAATTGCATACCCGCTGACAGGAATTGCATACCCACTGACGGGGATTACATACCCACTGACAGGAATTACATACCCACTGACAGGTATTACGTACCCACTGACAGGGATTGCATACCCACTGACAGGGATTACGTACCCACTGACAGGAATTACATACCCACTGACAGGAATTATATACACACTGACAGGGATTGCATACCCACTGACGGGGATTGCATACCCACTGACGCGGATTGCATACCCACTGACAGGAATTACATACCCACTGACAGGGATTGCATACCCACTGACGGGAATTACATACCCACTGACGGGGATTACATACCCACTGACAGGAATTATATACACACTGACAGGGATTGCATACCCACTGACAGGGATTGCATACCCACTGACAGGGATTGCATACCCACTGACAGGGATTGCATACACACTGACAGGGATTGCATACCCACTGACAGGGATTGCATACCCACTGACAGGAATTACATACCCACTGACGGGGATTACATACCCACTGACAGGAATTATATACCCACTGACAGGAATTATATACCCACTGACAGGGATTGCATACCCACTGACAGGGAGTACATACCCACTGACAGGGATTGCATACCCACTGACAGGGATTGCATACCCACTGACAGGGATTGCATACCCACTGACAGGGAGTAACATATCCACTGACAGGGATTGCATACCCACTGACAGGGAATTGCATACCCACTGACAGGAACTGCATACACACTGACAGGGATTGCATACCCACTGAC